GATAATAATAACAAGTTAAAAAGAAAAAAACGAAACAAATTGAATTTAATTATCCTCCAAATCACAGCAGCATTCATTAATTTATTTCTAATTACGCCAATAAACCTACATAAATACATGTACATACTATACATATAGTTGAGTCGATCAGTAGTTCTGTCGCTTACTTGCTAATTGGTTGATGTCCACTCACTCACATATTGGTTGTGTGTGTTAGTTTCTTTTTCGCTTGCTCATGATAACCCAATAAGAGATTTTTTAACATACCCTGTTGGAAATTGGAAGTAAACGTAACTAAATTAAAATAATATACAGAAATGTACAGATGCTATTAGCAGTTATAAAGTGAATGCCGTCCTCGGAGTCCACCCCCCATCCATTGCAGCCGAAGAACGTCAGCTGCCTAGACAAACCAGGGTAGTTTTGGCGCAATTACGTTCAGGATGGTGTAGTCGCCTCAATTCGTATTGGGCACGAATTGATGAAGATGTGCGTGACGCCTGCCCGGCGTGCGATACAGGCCCGCACAATACGCTACACCTTTTTAATTGCTCAGCCAAACCTACCCAACTCACTCCAGAGGATCTCTGGCTACAGCCCGTTAAAGTAGCCGAATTTCTAAACCTGGAGCTGGAACCAGATTAGCAGAACACAAACACACACATGTACTACTGCTACAACAACAACAACAATATACAGAAATATTTTTGAACGTGATTCGGAGATTTGTTGAAACATTCTTTGAAAATAAAAATGCCTACAATCGGTCGATCCGATTTTTATTTAATAGTGATTTTTGATCTATTTTTTAAACTATTTTTTATTAAATTATTCGATATTTTTAAAAATTGTATTAATTTGCTTTTGTGGAACTTTGGTCCATACCCTACAATAGGTAGTAGTGAACCTAATAGTATTTAAGTGAATTAAATCATAAAATTTCGATATCCATCGAAAATAATATTTATATTTTTTATTTTAAAGTTTTTTATATAGGTATACTGACAATCTTGGAGCATTTATACTAACATATTTAAAATTTTTTTATCTTTGTATCAACAATTTTGAACTTTATTTGATTTTTTATTTTTTTAGGTTGTTTAAAGCAATTTTTTGATAACCTTCGTTAAATCCTGAGGAATTTTTGAAAGATTGAGTGTATTGACACTTATTTTCTTTCTGTCGACTCTAGTGAGATGGATTTAAGTTTTGAGTTGTTTGTAATTTTTAGAATTCTGGTGGATTCATTGGCACCCTCTGTTAGGGAAGTCTTGATTTTGGTCCAATTAAAAGTAAAACGGTTCTAAATCTTGCAGTTCCACCATGAGATATGGATGTTTTTGAGGGCTATTGTACACAATCAGTTGAAAATTATTTTCCCTCTTCCAATGATTGTTATTTCTACGGTACGAATGCATCCAATTAATCGAAAAAATCAGGATGTGTACTTTGTCATTTTCTGATCGAAATCAGTTAGTAACACGTCATCATCTGTGTATGAATTGCCTTCGCAAAGCACACGAAATAAAAACGTGTGATAGTAATCGATATTGTTCGAAATGTAATCCATCTCATCACACCTTATTATATAGTGTTGATGCCAATTTCAATCCTGCGGCTCCGGCGAAATTAATTGCAACAACTAGTTTTTCCGTCAATCAGTCTTCTTCTTCGTTAGAACAAAGTCTACCGTCTACATCAGCTAGGTGTGTACCACATCAGACCTTTCATTTAGCTCAAAATAAATCGGTATTGTTGGGAACAGCAATGGTTTTTATTGTATACCATGGCGTGTATTCTGTAAGGGTGCTTATAGATCCAGCTTCTGAGTCCTCCTCCTTATCTTAACGGCTTCAGAATCGATTGCAAATTCCATTCCATTTCCATTGCTGGTAATCACAACTCTTGCCATGTGAAATCTAAGGATAATGCTGCTGATTTGGAAATTCGTGGTTTCTCTCCTTTCGATCTAGCGATTCTTCTCTTTTGTGGCATGGACCACAGTGGCTTAGTGATCACAAGTCTGAATGGTTAATTCGTGATCTGTCGGTTCAAAACATTACGGGTCGAGCCTTTAAAATTACAAAACGCTATGTATGTGTATTTGTATGTTTCTCAACGAAAGATATACATTTGGAAGCAGAATGAGATCTATCCACAGCAAATCTCTTTCCAGCATTGTCAGACAGCGGTACGAATTTCACTGGAGCTTCTAGAAAATGTTCGGGAACAGTTTCTTCTAACTATGCAATTGGGTGGACTTTGGGAAACTGGAGTAAAAAGTTCAACTCTCGACCTCTTTGTCCCATGTCAGATAGTTCTACTTACCTCGTTGCTTTGACACCGGGATATTTTTTTAAAGGTGCTCCATTAGTTGCCCCCAGAGCCGCATATAGCTGAACAACTTTTATATATAGTGAACAGGTTTCGAAAAGATCAGGCTTTAGGTCATCAATTTTGTTTGAGATGAAAAGTGGAGTATCTTAAAAGTTTGCACATG